CCTCACATTTGGGAACCTGTGTTGCTCAGAGCTGGTGGGGGAGAGCGCCCTGTCCATCCAGTCGTCTGAGAAGGTGACCAGCATCAGCCTGCCCGCCACGCCGCCGTACCACACGCTGGAGTTCCACCTGGAGGTGCTGTGCATCATCCCGCACGGGCCCGACCGGCCCGCCAACGAGAGGCTGACCAACGGGGAGGTCCGCCACCGGCCGCGTAGCTACAGCCACCCGGACACGCCCATGACCGCCATCGACCAGAGGGTGAGATCCGTTACATGTGACAGCCATGAGCTAACGCCTTGGACACTGTCTATAGAATATAAACAATGCCCAAGTTTTAACATAAATGAAGCAATCCTTTAAGGTCTTATATAATAGTGAAGTGAACATTTTATGGTTTGTGGGCTCAGATGTTAAATTATAAACCGTTTTATGCAGTAAACGAAGAATTGCTTATTAGATAAAGTCTTTATATGATGACTTGCAGTCCTTGTAATTGTGCCATCCGGCTGTTCGGTCGCGCCACTCAAAGAGCTTTGGTAACGTTTTGCTGGCGTCTGTCCGCAGATGTCCATCGACTGTCCGTGGTCCATCTACTCCACGCTGCTCGCCCTCACCTTCTACATCCCCTTCAAGACCAAACACTCTGTGCTTTCGGCTGGTAACCGGTGAGCCTCCGTTGCCATTCAAGTACCTGCCACAAAAACAATATGTTGCCGTTTTGTGTTGTTGAACCAACAAACGACGTTTGCTCTTTTGTGTGAAATCTTCGGCTGACCATAACCTGTAGTTGACTCACAAGCTGTTCACCCCACAGGAAGTACATCCAGGTTTGCCTGCAGAACGTGTCTGATGTGAACTTCACGCTGGCAGAAATGCAGCTGACGGAGAAGCAGCACGAATTGCTGGAGCTGCAGTCGCTCAACACTAAGACTCAACAGGTACGGTGTAGACAAAAACAACCACATGTAGATAGATATTCCAGAGTTTTTCCCCTCCATGGTTTCAGCTTTCCACCTTTTAAGGAGGCGGCTGCCCTTGATTCAAAAGTTGCTGTAATTAGCAAAGCCTCATTTGTGTGCAGAAACGCCGATTGTGTTTACGAGCCCTGAGCGCCTTTGGCTGGGCTGAGGGACGGAGCCCCGGTGTGTAGTTTAAAACGATCAACTACACAAGCCACTAACTCTCTGCCGTGGCGCGTGTCTGTGTAGCTCTTGTGCAGCAAGCACAGCTTATTCTGCCTGTGGGAGGTGAGGTGGAAGGACGACCCGCCCTCCTGCCTCCAGTGCGTCTTCTCCGCCAACTTCTCGCCGCCCAAGCAGGACGTCTCCACCTTCAAACCCTTCCACTACCAGTTCCAGCTGGAGAGAGTCTCTGTAAGTCCCTTTAAAAACCGTCTGAATGTTTGTCCCCGAGAGCCTCACTGTGGCTGTTATAAAACATATAAAGCCCTTTCTGTCCCACATTTTGTCATTTTCTAGAGTATGCAAGAACCCCGTGTTTGCTTACTGTGTATTCATTTTGCCGTCAGACGTTGTACAGCGTGAGGGCTGAGATCTTGCCCCCTGCCGGCGAGCAGCACTGCCGCTGTGGTTTACTGTCCGGCCTGGAGGTGTGCATCACGCGGCTGACCGAGGCGACCGAGGGAGAGGCGGCGGAGGACAGCAAGACCGACGCCGACGGGCCGAAGAGCACCAAACTCATGTATGAAGGTATGTGGGCTTTGTTATAGAAAAAGATGGATAACAGCCGAGGTGAGTGGGTATCACAGTGACAAAACGGTAACGTCCAAAAAAAAGAAAACAATATGAGAGAGGTAAGATATTTATTTGTTGCAGACAAAATTATTATAAGTATTTAAGTCAACTGTAAACACAGCTGAGGCTCATGCAGAGCGTTTAGCATTTTGTCACAGTGACCGATAACTAAACTAAATAAGAAGATTGATCTCTTTGTGGATTGTAGATTGTATCTATAAAAATACATTAATATTTTGACTGTTTGTAGGTTCATCAACTGTAAAACAGGCTGATCAGCAGTGTGTGTGTGTGTGTGTGTTCTGTCCACAGTGGCCGACAGCAGCAGTAACTGGGCGGTGTGTGGGAGGAGCTCGGGGATGGTGTCGATGCCCATGGCGGCCGACGCCGCCCACAAAGTGCGGATCGAGGTGATGCCCCTGTTCGCGGGACACCTGCCCTTCCCCAAGATCAAAGTGCTGAAGTACCTGCCTCACACGGCGGCCGTGGCCATCCAACCCGACCCCGGTAAGCCGCCGAATGCCAGGGAAAGAACCCGTAATCGGCCATCTCAACGCATAGCCGCTACTTCACATACAAGTCGAGGAATTCTGCGAAAGCTTCCTGACATTGAGTTGCTCCTCGTCCGGCCGTCTCGTATCGGTCCAACGAGACAAATTATTATTAAACTATAATTAAAATCTGTATTTTGGGTTCATACAGCTGATAAAACAACTCCATTAGCAGCGACAACACGCCGTTTAGTTCCCCGGGATAATGAATAAATAAAAAATGATTTCTTTCAGTGTTAATGGCGAAAATAACTGGATCAGTGACTGCCGTTGAGATAAGCCCCTCCCCCTCCGCAGCGCGTCCATACTGATCATGTAAATGACTACGGATGGTCCCACGCGACGTCCTCGTTCAGGACAAACCGCGGCGGTCCTCTCCAATCCTTCTGCTCACTGACTGCGTCTCGTTTGTGTCCTCAGACAGCTGCGTGGAGAACGACAGCCTGTCCCTGCTGGACAAGGCGCTGGACGACCAGGGGGACACGGCGAGCATCCGCAGCCGCGGCAGCGTCCACTCGGTGGGCAGCGGCGACCAGCAGCCGCAGAGGGGCGTGGCCATGCCGCGCCTGGAGCCCTTCGACGCCGGGCAGGTGTTCAACCACAGCCACACGCAGCAGGTCCTGGTGCTGCCCGCCACCGACGACCACATCATGGAGGTCAACGCCACATGACCCCCGTCGAGCGCGTGCCCGCCCCCCTCCTCGTAGAGGCGAACCTGGGCCCCGGGTGGACTCTGCTGAGCTCATTTGGCTCGGGGCCGGATTGATTCCAGGGGGCCGTGTCGAAGACCACCGCGGGTTGCCGGCATGGACCCCCAAGCTGTCCCCCCCTCCCCCCCCAAGCATGAAACGTTCACTGGAGACATGCGGACTGGACTCGGAGAAGAGCCCACGACATCCGCTAATGACATTTAAATAAAGATTTTTTCTTCGCCATACTTTGTACATAGCTCATTGGATGGATTTATTATAAATATATACTTATATATGTGTGTATATATATAAATATATATATGCATATATATATGGACTGATCAAACTGAAGAATAGCAGGCCCGATTGTCCCGAGACGCAACAGCCTCCCCCCCCGCCGGCGTGTCCAGCTGTGGCCCCGCTGAAGCAGTCTCCGCTTTTCATTTCAGATGTTTGGCCTCTACGGTCCCGTTCCAGCACAGAAGTACCAAAACCAGCGAGGCGGGTTAACAGACTCCAACGCTCACTGATCCATAATCGTCGTGGACTCTTTTGATCTGCAGACCCGAGCGTGAACTGTTCCCTCCGGCGTTTGTTTGCTCGGCTCCGATATGGTGCAACGGCGTCTTGTGGAATTGAGCGACCGCGAGCAGCGTTTTGTGTTTTCTCTCACTTAATGTACTTTTGGTGCTTGCTGGTGCATTAATCAATAACAAGATTGATTATTCGGTGCTCGTTGGTGATTGAGTCAAAAAACAACTGCCAATGAGAACTCAATTCAGCAAAAGAAATTGTAGTTCCAGAAGAACTCTTGAAACACGAGTTAGCGGTTTAAATCTGGATAACGAATTAGAACATCTAAAGAGCATTGCTCCCCATCAGGGGCAGCGAACATCAGCTTCCAGCGTAGACGATCAATCTTTGCACCAGCAGGGCAGCAACGTCTTTTGTGATTATGGACACACCTCCAACAACACATTGAAGAACTTTTATTTATTTTGACTTCTGTCCTCTAACTGAAATGCAAACATTGTGAAATGGGAAACCGCTGCTGTCTTCAGCGCTTCAGACTGAGGTGTGCGTGCGTGCGTGCGTGCGTGCGTGCGTGTGTGTGTGTATTACTGTCTTACACTCATCATTGGATTGTTCATATACAGTGTGTGTATGTTTATTTGGTGAGTGTGCATCAATTCCTGTGAGTGGACAAGTCAACTACTGCTCCTCCCCCCGCCCCCCACACACACACACACAGTGTAACTACAGCCGCCTGCTCTTCTATGATCACTGTACATACTGATTTGTAAATATTTAATTCAAATCCAAATCATCTGATTGCCAACTATATTAAAAATCATTGGAACTGACCTGATGTTTGGTGCTTTAATAATCGCGTGGTAGCACGGAGGTGATCCGGCTGCAGGGGGGTTTGTTAAAGATGTCCCACTCACACACACGTGAACCTGTGGCTTTTATTATATACAATATTGTTATCATAAAAACTATGACGTCCCTTTTCCCACTTAATGAGTGACCAGTTGTATTGACAGACTTTTTTACTATTTTCACAGAGTAGCATTAGTATAATTAATCACTGCTTTATATACACCATAATACCAATACACACACACAGATTTACAATGAGGAACCTAAACGTGCTGTCAGCAGTAATGCTTTAACACCCCACTACACTTATTAGTATAGTAGTAGTATTCAGTGGTATCTGCAACAGTGTCATTATTCATGCCATCAATGGAGGGTGCTAGAGGCTTTTGCTATTTACTTATTTTCTTTATTAGTGTTGAGAAGGTCACTCGCACTACATCGGTTCGGATGATGACATTTTTCTAATACAATAGTTGCTGTTGCACAACAGAATTATTGCTCTAATCGGCTAAATGTATTTGATTTTTTTTTTCATTTAGGTAAAAAAAAGTTTGATTTAGTTGCAGAAACCCTTCAAAGTTCGTCAGCACGTGACGTCATCTACTCAACTTTGCAATTGACGGCAAGTGGTGACTAAAGTGGGCCACGTGGCACCGTGAATAAGGTCTGTTAACACCTGTCTGTTAAGCGTGACAGAATATAACTTTTGTTTTAGTTTCTTAAAAATTTTTGGTCGGCCACGTAAATTAATACTAAATACCATGACAGCGACGAGCATCTGTTGAAAACAATCAAACTACTAATCGGGTCCTTCGAAAAGTCATTCGGGGACATATTATGGACATATCAAAATAAGTCCGCGTGTTCCATAATTGAAATATTAGCCGAAAAGATTAAAATGCCAGCTGGGGTTTTTTGTTGCGGACATCCGAGGACATGACCCGAGAGCGTCACCTTATCTGGCGCACGTCTGCCCGCTTCTCATTAACATAACTATGCAGCCGCACAACGGGGGGCCTCGGCGCTTCAATCAAACGCCCCTCCTCTCTGTGGGGGGAGAGAGATATTACAGGTGAGCAGCCCGACACGGCCGAAGTAGGCCGCAAACAGCCATGAGGCCGACCGAGACTCCTCTGGCGCTGCTCGCGGCCGCGTGTCTCCTCGGCACGTGCGCGCTCCCCCGCGCGGAGGAGACGAGGAGCCGGGAGCGGCTCTTCCTCGGCTCCATGGGGCTCTCCGAGCGGCCTCGGCCCGCGGCGAACCGGCTGCCCCGGCGTGACGTCCCCTCCGAGATCTGGAGGATGTTCCGGAGGTCCGAGAGCAACCGCGCCCGGGAGAGCGACCCCTGCACGGTGTCCGAGTACGGGGTGCGCGGCAACATCATCCGCTACGTGCAAGACCAAGGTAGGTGGAGACCCTGCTGCTCCAAGCTTGATCTGGTGCATTCCTGCTCCTAAATGATGCACACTTCATCTTTATCTAATACATGCGGCCTTATTGGACGCAATCAGTTTGCCTGTTCGCTCCCGAGTTAACATTTTAGCAGATTTGTTTAGAAATCCTCACGTGTCCTTTCTTCTGCACCAAGTCTCTGAAAGACTGCATCCAGTACGCCAGACACATGTTTAAATACTAACGCAAAGGGAATATGACCCTGTACTCTAATGTAGGTATATTCATTTATGGGTATTTGCACTATATATTTTTACGTACATTTTTGGTGAAAACTGTAGTGGATTGCAGGTTTTGTCTGCACAATCAACCCGGATTGCAGTCTAAAAGCATTCATGTAGAGAACGGCTGACGACCTGGTAGTTCACTTGTTCATACAGTAAATTGCTAGTTTAAATAAATAATAAGGGGATCAGTTTAAAAGAAAATCCCTTGTGGAGTGTTGATTTATAATTCTCATGTACCTCCATTTTTAAAGAGTTGGTTTCACAGAGAAAACGCACTATTTAATCAAAATGTTCAAAGTTGACTTCACGTTTGTTGTCAACAAAGTTGCAGCCTTGTGCTTAACTCGTGCTTTGTTCCTCTGGGATTAGAAAGATAACTCGGCTCCCCGCTGATGTTTCTGCAGGCGCGCTGGTATCTGGCTGGAGCGGCAGCTGTCCGGCCTGCCTGGAGAAGCCGCTTTACTTCAACTTGTCCGTCCTGCAGCCCGTGGAGCTGCTGTCTCTGGCTCAGCTGGAGATCAAGTTCCACTGGAAGCTCCTGCAGGGGCCCCGGGCCCTCAGCATGACTCTGTACAAAGTGATCCGGGCCACGCTGAGGGGAGCCGACCCCAAGGCCAGCCGCAGGCTCGTGCTGTCTCAGTCGGTCCCCGTGCATCCCGAACCCACCTCCGTCACCATGGACCTCACCCCGCTGGCGGAGAGCTGGCGCAAACCGGGACGCAACTACGGCCTGCTGCTGGAGCTGCTGCCCCTCGCCGGCGATGCGGGGGAGGAGCTGCTGCCCTTCCGCCCCGGGAACGCCCTCCCGTTGGAGCCGGCCTTCACCCTGCCGCTGATCCGGGCCTCGCTGGTGGCCGTGTCCCTCAACCCCCACCAGTGTCGCTCCCGGCAGCGGCGGAGCGCCGTCCACCTGCCCGTGACGCCCAGCAACGTGTGCCGGGCCCGCCGCCTCTACATCGACTTCAAGGACGTGGGCTGGCAGGACTGGATCATCGCGCCTCAGGGCTACTTGGCCAACTACTGCCACGGCGAGTGCCCGTTCCCGCTGAGCGAGAGCCTCAACGGCACCAACCACGCCATCCTGCAGACCCTGGTGCACTCCCTGGACCCGCACGTCACGCCGCAGCCGTGCTGCGTGCCCGTCCGCCTCTCGCCCATCTCCATGCTCTACTACGACAACAACGACAACGTGGTGCTTCGCCACTACCAGGACATGGTGGTGGACGAGTGCGGGTGTCGGTGACGTTGGTCGGACGTTTTCTGACCAGCGAATATTCGTCGGTTCCATTTTTTTTTTTTTTTTTCTTAGTTTTTTTTCATAAGAATTTAAATGTGAGTAACTTGTATTCTGATATTTGAAAGAATTTAACATAAATAAACAATAAAGCTAAACTGGATGCTCCGTTACTGATTATGGTGGAGCTTTGCTAATCGACACTGCAGACTCCTGCGTTTAGGCCAGGTTGTCCTTTCCTATCCTGCTGGAACATCATCAAAGTTTTCACTTCAGATTATACAATAGGTGCGCATTTTCTAAATCAATCAACAAATTCAACAAGAACATGATTTCTAGATCGCTGCCTCTGTAAAACTGAGTAACTCTCCTCCTCCCCTCGCTGTGTGTGTGCTGCTCTGGATGTGAGGCTTTAAAACCATCAAGGCTGTTTAAATCTCTCATGTGAGAAGCTGAGTGACGCGCTATATTATTTCTCTTCTAATTCGAAAGCACCGTTCTGATCTTTAATACAGGCCCAAGTTTTGGACTGTGGATCCCGTCCCATCGTCAGGCGTTCAGAGGGCCTCGTCTGCCCGTCGGCCCCTGGTTTCACTGACTGAGACGTGCTCTTTTATCACCAAAGCAGAAATGAACTCTTATCTCACCTCCCTGCAAGATAACGCCTCCCTCACGGAGCCAGACAGACAACTGGGGTTGCCGTGGCGACGGCCGGTCGCCACGGCAACTGGGCTTGGCTGACAGGTTGTAGTAATTAGTGAGGGAGAGAGAAATGGAGTTTGGGGAATGAATGAGGGGCGAGGAAGCGACCCGGTGAGTAGTTTTGGTTCCCAGTGGGAACGTTAGGGGAACCTGATCAGTTGTAATAATGTATATTATACCAGTGTTCATGAAACACTTAATACAACATTATTTACATGGTAAACTTATGGTGAAAATCCAAAGTTAATCCAGTTAAAGCAACATTAGTACAATATTCTCTATTTATTGAAAGGCCTGTTTACGTAACAAAGGTACAACATGTGTAGCACAAGCCGTCAAGAACCAATGTGTTGCCAGTCTGTGCTAAATATCCACATTTCGTGTGGCTCCCTGTCGCACACAGGCTCACTGGCATCACTCTGGAGACCTTTGCAGGGAAGCAACAAGGGTTCTGCTTCTCAGGAGGTGTGGTGGGACAGAGGGTGATGGAGCGCATCTATTCAGACATACGGTGTGAGAAGAACAACGTCAACATACACGAGTGTGAACGCGACGGTGACCATATGTCCCCTTTCAAAGACCTGTTCCATAAAAGCACTTAAGTATTTGATATAGTTCCCTCTGCCCGTTTTCTCAGTCATTCTGTCCTCTTATTGTGCTTTCAAGTGCAAGACAGCCGAGCTGAAACGGAAGATGAATGAGGGGGAGACGGGAAGAGGAAGAAGCCTCAAGCTGTTCAGCAGCACGTTGCTGTCAAAGACAAAGTCCTTTCCCCTTTGGCCTCTGAGGATCTGCAACAGACGCTCTCTCTCAAACAGGCAGCCTCACGAGTGTCTTCCCACTGTCTGTCTGTGTCTCTCCCAAATTAACCGTCACCCAGTTACAGACGAGGTCACAGAGTCAAATTCTATTTAAGCTTTACATTAGTGGCAAAGCCCGCGGACCCGTTGAGCTCCCTGAGCGCCCGCTGGCTCCGGGACGAGGGGCACACGTCTGCTTTGAGCCCACGGCAGAACGACTCCATGGTCCAACGATTCGGGTCCCGACTGCCGGATGGATTGAGATATGCAACGGGTTAACCGTGTTCCCCAGAGGATGAATCCTAGTGATCTCCTGCTCCACATCATACATTCATGTCCCCCTGAGGATGAAGTGTCCCTTCGTGACCTCCCACAACCACTTCACTGTCCATCTAAAGAATCCGGCTACATTTTTATTTTCTCCACTACTTTATGAAGATCTGCTCAATGAATTCTCATCAGCCACAGCTGCACATTATGTTTATTGGGATACGTTGTTGTGCTAACATGCTGAAGATGGAGAATATGTAAAAACATCTGTTAAATATCAGCATGTTGGTATTCAGTTCACATCTTACACACACACTCACTCATTTTCAGCCTTTGGTGGATGTGGGAACAAGCTGATGAACCAGTATGACGAACTACATGTGGTTTTTCCTGCATGTACTCAGTCAATGAATAATCAATTCCTGTTTGAAATGGAGTCTCCGGAGCCAGTGTGACTTCCATCCATCCGTAGTCATGTCTTTAGTCCCTCTGTCCCTCTCGTCAAGGGAAGGGACATCTTAACACAGACCCCGCCAGAGACTCCCTGGTTGTGGACACGGCATTTAATAATGCAGCCACACAAACAGATAAAAAGGAAATGAAGGAAAGAAACCAGAAAACAATGCCGGAAACTAACCTGGTTTAGTCAAGCGCTGCACACACAAATTTAATTCTAAGATACTTCCACGGTTAATATGTTACTTTGTGCACATTTTAACGTCTACAGCAGAACACGTTGAGCTATACTTTGCATAAAAAGATTAAAAGCCAAATAAGTTATGTATGCGCTTAGACATGATATGACAAGTTTATTTTGAAATACCAAAAAGCAGAAGGAAGCAGTGAGGTTCAACTCCGCCTGCATCGCCTGCAGCACGATGCTGCTTCCACATTGTAACACTGACCAACAATTACAGGACGCAAAGAATCTGTATTTTGTTCCCATGACAACCATAAGGGGGCAATGTGGCTTCAGCCCAGAGCGCGGAGCTCACTGCTGCTTGTGTGTGTAGTTCTCAAGGCTACGTTTGTGTTTTCTCATCATTTTAATAAGCGGCAAGTGTGTCAATAAAACATTTAAGTCGAAGTCAAACCTCATATTTGTTCTAATGACCAATGGTGTCGGTGCAATGATATAACAAGGCGCCATCGTTTCCCAATTGACTGACAAAAGATACTTATATTGATGAACATCATGATTTGTGTTTGCTGATTCTGTGTGTATTCACATGTCAACCAGTTTTCAAATGACATAATAATAATAATATAATAACAGCTTATATGAAAAGAAAAAGCACATTTTCCCTTTCAAACAGTAAGTGACCTGTAACAAAAACACATTTTCCATACAAACTTGATCTCTTAACATTTTAATATATCACAAATAGACACATCTCAAAGGCCTGCAAACTCAATGCAGCCGTAAGCTGCTAAACAGACAGATATTTCCAAGGAGCTTAGAGGAGCGCGAATGTCAAACTTACACAGTGACCTTCAACACGACTCCAAATGAATACATATTTCAAAGAGTTCAAAGGATCCAAAAGTTAACACCTGCAAACAACCAATCAGGTGATTGGACTTTTTGATCGGCCTGTTTTGGCGCGTGCTGTTGTGGTTGTTCATGGGCCCGTGACAGCACGCAACATCATTAGAACCCCTACCGGAGATCGACCAAATGAATTGATTACTTATTGAGTGATAACAATATTTGTCAGGTTCCCAAACCCTGATTTAAGAAACGCCACGTCAGTGCTAGAGCAGCCGTGCAGCTGACAGTTTCCATTAGATGTTACAGCAGCCTTAATACCAGTAGATCATCACACGAGAGGCAAAGATGACAGCGAGGCACTTATTCTCTTTCAAACACGCCGACTCCTCGTCCCATTGACCTCCGTAGTGAGTACAGTAATGCCCCTCATGATATCACAAGCACTCTGACTAATGTTCTACACCACACACACTCTTCTTGGCTCCCATATTTCTAATCCCTTTACAGTGTGGGTCACACCAGCATGCATTTGGCACACACACACTCTTGTCACCTAATCGATGATAATGGAATCACTGTGTATCCTGCCTGGTAACACGAGCCTTTGTGTCATTAACATGCCAACCTAAACTTTTGGTCGCACATGTTTGCATGTAGGGACATGAAGGGCGCGATCACGCAGCTGCAGTAGACCATTACAGCGTGGACCTTCTCAAAAGTTCTTTTATTTCATTTCTAGTGCTCCAGAACTCTATATTTTTATACGAACAAGGAATCAAATCTGTGAGTAGTGGAAAAGGTGTCACTGCATTTCCACTAGCACAGACAATTTATTTCATCACTCTCATTTTCGGTTGTAGCATGAACACTACGTTCATCAGGAGCTGCTGGAGACCAGAAGAGAAGCATCGGGTGAACAGAGACACAGAATGGATGTGCGAGTACGGATTATACAGGAGAAAGTGTTATCCGGACCCATTGGTCTGTGGACTGCTGTCATGAAGCCTTGAGTACGGCAATTTCGGCATCATGTTCTTGGAATACTGCCAGCGCCATCTTCGCCTTTTGGCCGCCAATGAACAGACGTTCCAATATTTGGATATTTGGACTACGCAGGAGGTGATGTAGAAACGCTGCATAGGGTTCTGGTAGTGGATGTGACCTGTCAATCACAATAATCCCCCCCTAAAGCATACTCCCCTTTATAGTATTTTGATTCTAAATGGATCATAATTTACTAAATGACCATCATGGTGTATTGAAGACCCGACACTAGATATTGAGACCATAAAGTCATTTCTACGATGTTTACCAGATAATTATTTGTAAGACTTTCACACAATCAAACTCAGCCGCCCCCTGCTGGTCAGTGTACAGAATGCACATTTGAACACAGTTCCACGTGAGCATTTCTTGGCCCAATGGGGGGTTGCAGCCGGTGTGTACGGAGGCATCTGTTTCCCAGCTATAACGCGAGTAGCTTTGTCTGTAAGTCCAGTATTCAACAGATTTAAAATGGCATTTAAATAGATTTGAATTTAGATTCCAAGCCAATGTTTGTTCAGGTCAAAGGTTTGTGTTCAGGAAGTCTTTGGAAAACTACAGCTGTTTTGGTATTCCCATTGGACCTTTCACAAAGTGGAAGGTATAAGAATAAATGGATGAAATCCTTTTATCCTTTTAATCCTTGTATTGATTCATAACAGTGACATTTGCTAGCTGTGTCAAGTAATGTTAATGGTATCTCCACAACCTGAGGAAATCCTACATTCACACACCAAGTGCTTCTACATAGAGTTCATCAATAGAAAATAAACAGGAGCCGAATGGATGTTCCCTTTGAAATCAACATGGCATGAAGGTAAGATCGGCGGCCATTTTGATGTGTACTGCTGCTAT